TGGCCATGACAGCACCCCAGTGGTCCTGCTGATGCCAAGGACCCTCATTCTGCCCCTGGTTGGTTGGATGGAGACAAGTTTAGAGTCATCTTTTGATCTTTGGTATGTGCTGTGGTCTTGTTCTAATTATAGCATAACAGAGAGAGAAAATGTGCCATTGTCTGAGCAATAATGAAACACTAAACATGCGGAAATCCTATTCGTGCCTCGTGGACCATAGCTGTCATTTCATTTGTCCTGGAAATCCTTCCATGTGGCCATGACAAAGATTTAAGGCTGACTGTCTTGGCACTTTGAAATCATTAGCTGTTCCTGGGACAAAAGTCTATCAGGCATGCTGAAGCATCTAAAGGGATGTATTTATTTCTGTCAGTAATGTATTAAATAGAAGTGTGTTGGTAAGTTTGCTATTAGGAGAGAAAAGTACAGTACAAGAATCCTGTAGGATTTTCTTTCCTGTGAATGTTAGATGAATGTATCTGTTTCCTGTAAAATTCTCTTTTTCTGCTTCTGGTTTTTGCATCTCCTTGGTTGCCCCAAACCTTTTTCTTGACTGTAATTTTACAGAAGATTATATACTTTGTAATTAATTTTCTCTCTATATAAATACACACAAAATGATAGTAATAGCTTACAAAAATAATAAAAAATGGAATGAATCTAATTTCTTTGATTGAATGCTCAGAGTATCATCTCTGTGTTTCTCGTATAATAGGAAGCCACACTGAGACATTACTCTGTCAATTTTCCTTCCTATTCTTGATCATATTTATCATCTGTGTCGGATTTTGTTAAATTTGTCCTTCTGGTTTTGGGGTGGAGTTTTGTTTTTTATGTTTTTTGGTTGGTTGTTGGATTTTTTGGATTAATTACTGGAATTATGTGTTTCTACATCAAATTAGAAGATAGGAGTCAGCTGTTTTTGTCGTGTGAGTGCTTGACATGCATAACACTGAAGGAGATTGCTGTCAGTTTACTTATGTATGGTTCTCTGTCTTCTTAGCATATCTCTGCACTTAAAGGCTTGTGTATGTTATATTTGCTCCTGTTTTCTTCTGTTTAAGCTATCTCAAAAATTCACAGTGATGCAACACCAATTATTTGTTCTTGCATTGTACATTGTAGTTATTATGTAATACTGTACAACTGCTGTGCTTTCTGGAACAAGAAATATTACTCCTCTTGAAAATGTGTCATGTAGCTAGCGGAGCTGTCATTTCAAAAATGGATAAATACAGAAAAGTGGCAAAATTGTGTATAATTGCCACTAACAAAAAGTGGTTTCCAGTATCTGAATATATTCCATCTCACTGAGACAAAGTAGAGGCAAAGAAGAGAGCCAGAATGGTTCCACCCTCTTTTTATCCTGCGATCATATTTAAATATTTTTGTAGTCAGTCCTGAAAGCTTTGAGTGTCTTATTAACAATAACTTTAACTCCAGGAGCTTCCTTCGTTGTTCTGATACCTATGAATTGTAGAGCTGGTGCTACAGTTTTGGTAGGCAACGTCAGCATTATTCATGATGATTTTCAATTTGGAGTTGCTTACCCCTGATGTCATTATGTGGGTTAAATTCTGTTGGAAGAACACTTTCAATGATCTTCTGAGTTTGTGCAAACATCACTGCTAATTGTTGGGCAGTAACCAAGAAAGGTAAGTCACTTGTAGTTTCAGCATATTCATAGAAGAAAGTTTTCTGATTGTTACGTTCCTATCTGTAATCCTTTGTGTCCTAGTAAGGGTGAACTTAATTTCTTTCAATGCAGTGTAATTTCTGGTAATTCATTGACTATGGGAAAAGCATTGTACTTGTATTAATCAGTGATTAGTTGTTGCTTTTTTCATTTAACTATCTCCTCCAAAAAGTCATATGTCTTTTCAGTTATCTGTTCATGGGCATTTTTAAAAGTAATTCTCTTTGCAGTGTTGCATGTTTTTTTCCCCACAGTTCTTCCATCTTTATTTTGGCGCTTTACTGTTTGTTCTCCTGTTTCCTCACATTGTTCTTCTGTCAGGGCCTGCAATTCCTCCGTTAGATTTGTGAGGCTGGTAAATAGCTACTCCGAATTCACAAGGAGATTTGCTCTGTTGTAAGCCAGTGCCATCCTGCTGCATTTCACATACAGCCTTGTCCTCACGAAACTGCAGCACCAATTTAATTGTGCCATTAGGATGCTCCTATGAATTGTGATGTGGTAAATGTGGAGGAGACAAGCTTGGAATATGTGCACTAATGACAGTGTAATTACAACTGAATAATAATATAGCAGTCATAAGCACAGTATGTGATATTTCATGTACTTGCAGTTGTGCTTTAAGGCACTGTATAATTCAATTTAGTATTTAAATGTTTTAGATGAAAAAATTTACAGATGCCTGCTTAATATATTTTCTGCAAATTGCTTTAGATTTATGACATTTACGTGCCGCTGTGAGTAAATAAGCATAATTTATGGTGTTGGGTTGGTATTTGTTTGTTTGTTTATTTCTAATGTTTTTTGTTTTAAACAGTAGATGCACTGTTCATGCACTGTAGATCCACTGTCCGTCTTCGTAAATTTCAGGTGGCTGCTAAAACTGAATCCAAGGGCTCTGCACTGTAGGAGGCAAAGTCAAAGCATTTGTATTGACGGAGCCAATTGAAGCTCTGAAGGTGTCAAAACTGTGGTCTTGAAGTTGTCAATGTTGCATGCAGAAGGCTGTGGCTCTGTGTTTGCAGGTCTTCTGTGAAGATCCTGTAAACTTGTACATCCTCTATCTGGCAAGACTTATGCAAACCATGCTGGTAAGATTAAAAGGGAAGCCAGACAAGTGCTGCATACTTTTTGTTTCTGAAGACATTTGTACAATTCAGTAACCAGTGGTGAAACAGAGCAAAATAGGTACCAGCTTTGGAAAGAAAGTCAACAGAGGGATTTTTATTTCCCTTTTACCCCATGTTCCAACTATTCTCCTTCATAAATGACAAATCTGCTGTCTTTAGGCAGGAGATTTCCCTGAAGTTGCACATGCCTAAGATCAGTGTGGGTGTGCACGAGTCTGTGTGACACAGGAGGGTTACCTGCCCCAGGAGCGCTCACAGATGAGGCAGGAGCCTATTTGACGTGCAGCCAGCAGAAGTGCTGAGCTAACGTTGGTGCTGAGGCTCTTACCTGACTGAGGTGCAGTTGGGTGTCATGAGTTGGTAGCAGTTGCTGGAGCTTTAGTTAATTCAAAACCATTGCAGCATCTGAAGTGGCCACTTCACACTCCTAATTTAAGTATTTTTATATTCTGTTAGCCAGTCCTCCCACAAATTGTCCTTGAGTCTCCTTATCCACAACATGTTTCCTGTGCAATCAGAGGCATTTTGTGCCTTGTGCCTATTTCTTTCATGCAGTGTGAAGAGTATAAGATGTAAGTAATGTTTTCCTCTAATATAATTAGGATGTTAAGTCTGGATTAAAGAAAAAAGTTTGCATTGATTTTTCTTTGCATCCGATCCTCTTTACAACTCTGAACTTAAAATATATTCCTGAGGGTACCTTGGAGTTTTTGCACATTGAGAGGAGAATTGTTTAATAGCCTATAGCTATTCTCCCAAAATAGTCTAAATGGACAAGGAAAAAAAAAAATCAATGCACCCAAATAAGGTCATTTGCTCACAGTGATTAGGACACAGAAATAGTCCTTTTCAAGGAGGTGGAACGTATCTCAAGTTATTTTGATGGATTACCAAGGTCTGAACTAATTTTGGTAGTGTAAACATCGGTGTGAAGTGACTCTGGTCCCATCCATCCCGCGTTCAAAGGTGGATGTGTTTCAGGCTGGATTGAATAAAGTGCCATCTGGTTCTCATGTGGTTTGACTTGCCAGCAAGAGCCATCACAGTTAGAGCTGTGTTTGAAAGGCAGGTTCCAGCTGACAATAGGAAGCATTTATCCTGCGTGATTCCTGCCTGTTTGCTCTGATCCGAGCTCCGAGCACATAACTGTGTCAGAAAACCCTTTTTTCTGTGCTCAGATGTGAACACTGTTTGCAAATTTATTTGGAAGTACTTTCACTTGCTCCAAGTCTCAGGTCTTGATGTAATCATCTTTTCTGACCATTGTCTTTCATTCTCCTGGAAATAATTATTTCCAGCGTTTTCTGAGCAAAACAGAAAATGAAAAAAAAAGAAAGAAAAAAAAAAAAAAGAAAAAAAAAACCTGGAAAGATCAGGCACCTTTTTTGTATTGCTTTTCTGCTGATCTTGTCTTCATTTAATAGACCATGTTTTCTTGAGTACTTCAAAATATTTCTCATCACTTGCCCTTAGTACTGACCTTGCAACCTGAGTATCAAGGAAGTGTCATGTTAGTGACTACTAATTAGTGCATCCGGAGAGCTGCTTCTGCTGGCCTTCAACCTCCTAGAGGCAGCAACCAAAGCTGTCACATGTATCATACAAAGAAAACAAGCGTTTGCCATAGCTTTTCTGTTGTTCCCCCCACACACCCCAGGTTACAGATAGTAGCATGAGCTCAATTGAAACTGCATCTGACTTTGTAGGTTAGGAAGTAATTAACCCGCAGTGTAGTAGTTGAATTTTTTTTCTCCATGCATAGCATAAGGCCTTTATTACCTGGTTCTTACTGCATTTGTGTTATTTTTGTGTTATATGTAAGAAAAGAGAATAAATCTCTATTTCCTTCCAACCTTCTTGTTGTCGTTCCTACTGTCCTTTTATTTTTTTAATACTTCCCACTGTATTAAATATTTCTGAAATTGTCTTAACATTTAGATTCTAATATACAGTGTAAAGTCCACATGGAACTGTCTTTTTCTTTGTTGAACAAACTTGTTAATAAAAGAGTCAGCCATGATACCCATTTGTCATTTTTTTGTTTCTTTACCTGTTTCAGCTGTCATATTTTGGAACCACCCTACATTTTGGGTATAATGTGCAATCACAGTCTTGTCACAGAACTATCTGTGCAAAAACCATTTATGTCTTTTTTACTATTTATAATTTTTCAGGTCTTCAAAATAGAAGTGCTGATGAGTGGAAGGAAGCATTTTGTGGAGAAGAGGTATAGTGAATTCCATGCTCTCCATAAAAAGGTAATTATCTATTTACACATAGCAGATTTGTTTCACTCTAATTGATTCCCCTCACTTGAAATTGTTAACATTTATGGTTTATCTTAAATACATCTTGTGATTCATGTCTCTGGAAAAGAGACCTTACCTTAAATAGCTGTCTGCTTTGTGGAAGTGAGGATGGTGGGTTGTGGGCTGATCCTTTCTCTGCTTTTCTATTGCTTTTTACATGCTGCATTGCTAAAATGGCATCCGCAGTATGTTGGGTTTTTTTTCTTCTTACAAAATGATGAAATACAGCACATTCCTATAGCAAAGCAATACAGCTTTGTTTTATATGCTGTTATGCAAGTAATTTATGTTAAATCTATAAATTGAATTGCTAACCTGCTGAGCTGAGGCAACAACTTGTGCACACCAGGAAACTAAACATGAAAAGGACTGGCTCACTCTGCTGCTCTTCATTCAGTGATTGTGGTAGGAAATATCCCTTAATCTTTCACGATTGAGTGTCCACTAACTGTTTTGATGCTTTTGAAGAGAGGGTACAACTTCTCCTCCCCAGGCTGAACTAGATGCTTCTATTGCATCCTACCAAAAGGCAAATTTTAAATCGTTTCTGCCTTGTGAAAAGCAAATACTGTGAAGAATAATTCTGGAAAAGCAGCAGCCTACTGGTGTTGGGGGTATGCTGAAGAGCTTCAGTCCTCTCCTGGGACTTTTCTTGCTTTGGCATTGGAGGAGCATGTGTGGGCTTCACTGCTTTTGCTTGTGCTGCTTTTCTTCAGTACCAAAAATCTGCATCTGCAAAAAGAGAGGAACACAGGGAAAAGCTTGTGGCATTTACAGCTCCTGCCACTGCAGTGTCACAGGAGCTTGCTGATAACAGCATGTTTGGTATCCCTGAGTCATCTCATGAATGGTGTAATCCAGGGAGGAAGCAGAGAGAATGAATTTTGACAGCCTTATATTGATATAAGCCAACTTGGGACAACAGAAACAAACTGCTGAGGTGTATGTGCCTTTGTCCTAAAGAATCTTTAAAAAAAAAAGATTTTGCTTTACTGCACAGTAATCAATATGTGCTATTATTTCTTGGCCTTTTGCTTCTTGCCCCAGCTGTGGTAATTGACTGCCACTTTATAAAGTGCATTTTCTTGTTTATTGCTTTAATTCAGATCTCTCTCACATCTTTTTTGCCTTGTGTTCTATTTCAATATGATAACATAGGAGCAACAGTATCAGAATCAGCAGTACAAGTTTACAGTGTGCTTCTGCCATACGTGTGCTTTATTTTACACACACTAAAACAACAAATGAAAGTAAAATAATAGGTTGACTAAGACACAACCGGTTAAGTTAGGAAGCATTGAAAGGGAAAAATTAACTTTTCTATGCTAAAAGTGAATATCTAAGTAGATTGTTTGCTGTAGTTGTCTGATTTCACTGTGGTTTCTGGTGTTGCATGGTTTAATTTCCAGTTATCTCTTGACTTGCATGTTCTCCTTATTGCTCCACACAAGTGTCATGAATGATTGCAGTCTCAGTCTCAGGTTTGTCACCTTGCAGTAACTCCCTTTGTAGAGAATTATCCTTAAAGCACCAAAAGAGCCATTAATGACACCTCTTTTTTCTCTAACCAAAAATAGCAGCAAAATATTCAGCCAAAATTCAAACAGAACCCTTGGATTACCTTTCAGTCTGTTACATCTTACACCTCATCTGCTTGGTGTCTGTTTTAAGTTATGCTGTGGTTTTCTTAATTCTCCAGCACAGATGCAAAACACCCAACGTTTTTTGCTCAACATGCTATTTAAGTCTTTTTTTTCTTCCACAGTAATACTTAGGTTTGTAGTAAACAAAAAGTTCAAGAGGTCCTGATCTGAGGCTTCAGTGCTTTCAGTGCTTTCAGTTGCAGAAATATTGGAGAAAGAGTTCTCTAACAATACATTACATCATTTCACCCTTTATTCATCTGCCTTGTGTTAGAAAAAGCAGAAAATCTCAAAGCTCTTAAGGTAGTACAATTCTCTTCTTCCCCTTTAATTCAAAACATGAGTTCCACTCTCCACTGCATGCCTGAGAATTATAAAGGTATCATTAAATGTACTGCATTTTCAAGGTGCCCTCAGCACTGCAGATGACTGGTGAGCAGCAGAAATAAAACCTTTGCTGGGGACAGGTGGGGTAGAGAGTGGGGCAGATCACACCTTTGTCTGAGAAGGCTGAGCTGCACTAGAACCTTGTGAAGGAAGGGAAGGACTGTTGAGAGATGATTCGTTCATCAGAGTGCCAATAATGCCAGTTAATATTTAGGTTCTTTTACTTATTTATTTAGTTTTGGTATTTTTTAGGAAAGCCATTTCCAAGATGGTGGTTGGATTTGTCTTTCTCTGCTCTCATTCTCTTGCATACCAGGGCTGTGAAAGAGCTAAGCCCCATTTTCTTTGCAATCTGGCTGTAATGGAAAGGGTTTAAAATCTTCGAGGCGGCTACAACACACAAGTAGAAATTACTTCTTTGTCACATTAGAAATGTAATTGAAGTCTGAGTGAAACTTTTGTGATTTTCACTTAATTCATTTTTACAATGAATTAAAATCTTCCTGTCTGTATAACACAGTTAAAAATACGATGATGTACCCATATTTACTCACTACTCTTTTATTCCGCTTTTTTTCTTTGCATTTCAGTAGTTCTTTTTTAGTATGAAAATGTTGGGTGGCAGTGGAACAACCAGTGCACTGAAATCTAGAAAACACCTAAGATCTACGCATCAAGTTTTGCAAATTATTTATAATTTTAGAGTAGTTGTTACTTTCCATATTTGGACAAATGATTCTATAATTGATCTTCTGAGACATCTTTTAGACTTGCGATAAAAAGGGACTGCAGTTTGTCAAATCAGCGTCCTCAGCAGGTTTGCAGATGGCACCAAGCTGAGTTGACATGCTAGATGGAAGAGATGCCATCCAGAGAGACCTGGACAGGCTTGAGAGGTGGGTTCATGCCAATCTCATGAAGTTCAGCAAGGTCGAGTACAAGGTCCTGCACCAGAGTTTGGCAGTCAGAAGCACAAATGCAGGCTGGTCAGAGAATGACTTGAGAGCAGCCCTGAAGAGAAGGATTTGGGGGTGTCAGTTGATGAAAGTCTCAACATAAGCCAGCAATGTGTGCTTGCAGCTCGGAAGACCAACTGTATCCTAGGTTGCATCAAGAGAAGGGAGATGATTCTGCCCCTCTGCTCAACTCTCATGAGAACCCACCTGGAGTTCTGTGGCCTCAACACAAGAAGGACATGGATCTGTTGGAGCAGGTCAGAGGAGGGCCATGAAGATGATCAGAGGGCTGGAGCACCTCCCCTGTTACTACAGGGTAAGGGAGCTGGGGCTTTTCAGCATGGAGAAGAGAAGGCTCCACAAAGACTACATTCAGCCTGCCAGCGTACTTGAAAAGGACCTACAGGAAAGCTGGGGAGGGACTTTTTGTAAGGGGCAGGTAGTGACTAGAAGAGAGGAAATGGCTTTAAACCGGAATAGGGTAGATTTAGACTAAATATTACGAAGAAATTCTTCACAGTGAAGGTGGTGAGACACTGGAAGAGGTTGCCCAAAGAGGTTGTGGATGCCCCTTTCCTGGAAGCACTCAAGGCCAGGCTGGATGGGGCTGTGAGCAACCTGGTGGAAAAATCAGATTTTGTGTTTTGGCTTTAAGGCCATTCAGTAAATGTACATGAGTTTGGTCAGATTTCATTTTCATTTCTTATTAAATTGTAATCTAGCACTGTTAAGAAATCAGGAAGTTGCAAAATATTTCCAGAGCGATCGAGATTTCTACGCTGGAGCTTCGTTACCTGTGATTGTAGAGACGTTGATATGTTGGCACTGCTTTTTTCTATAGTGACATCTCAGCAATCTCAAAGATGAAATGTAAATTCTCAATCTCCCATGGGTACGCATGTCAAAGTCAATTTTGAGTTTCTTTCTTCGCCTTCCTTGCCTCAGATCTACTCAGAGGCAATATACAGCAGAAGGAATGTCCAACGTCACCTCCTATTAAAATGCATTGAGGCCTATTCCAGTTACTGTTTTTGCTCCACAGTTTTGAGGGAAATGTTAATACTGGTTGGTTTAAAAAAAAAAACTTTGCTCTAGAAAGAGAATTCTTTCTGCTGTCATAATAGATATTTGTGTCTGTCTGTCTGCTCTCATTTATGCATACGCACACACATTTCTACATATATCTATGAAAGATTTTGTATGGGAATCTTAGAGGAACAGTTGTGGAGCTCTGTTAGAAGTTATATTCAGTGGCAGTCTTGGTGTTTTTCTGTGTAAGCTACTGAACACAATTGTCAATCCGTTGGGGCAAACTGAGGGCATGGATATCTTGCTCTCTTGATTCCATAAAAATGTTTAGCTCTTCTCCTTCCCCCACTTTTACATAAATGCCTATATCTGGTGTTAGAAATGATTGTGTTTTTTTGTCACCAGACTTGTGATACCTGTGTACAGTGCAGTCATACTCTAACGTGTCATGCAAAGTCAATTAAAGAGGAAATGAAGCACAAGAGGAACTTAATGTTCTATCTTATATCTTCATTGGGTGCTTAAGGCTGCAGTGGGCACTGAATCCAGCTGTCAGGTGCTAGGTGTTCCTTCCTCATCTGCTATTAGCTGCTGTGAGGTAGGTTGAGCCCTTGCTCTGTGGTTTTTGGCCTTCTTGAGTGCTTTCCCAAGGCTCAGCCTTGCAAGTCACCAGAGTCGGAGATTGACATTGCTCTGCTTTAGTTATCCTTCAGCCCTCCTGCCCACTGCTCAGCTGCAGTCAGTTAACAGTCTGGCTCCAGCATGTGATCAGTGTGACATAGTTCCTCATTTCATGTATCCTAAAGTAGCTGCTGCTGTTTGGCTGTAAAGCCATTAATGACAAGTTGTGCTAGGCTTTCTGTTCACTGAAAAGGGCAACTGAACACAGGGATTTTTAACTGCAGCCTGTAGGTATGAAGGGGCTTAAGAAGTCAGTTGTTACTTCAGTGAGTTGAACTTGATTGGAGAGGATCTTGATTGCTGTGCTGTTTTCCTTTACGTGTGGTTGTTTTACTGATGCTGTCTCTCATCTCCAGTGTAAACTTGTTTACTTTAAAGGGGCACTATTATCCTTTCTCTTCGTCTGAATTTCTTTTTGTTTTAGCTCAAGAAATGCATAAGGACTCCAGAGATCCCTTCAAAGCATGTGAGGAACTGGGTCCCAAAGGTCTTGGAACAGAGACGACAAGGCTTGGAGTTGTACTTGCAGGTGAGTTTCCTCCCACTAGCATGAAGTAAAAACAAAAACGTCTTTTCAGGGTTGTCTACTATCCAAAGCATCTCTAGGTAGTTCAGGTATGAAGTGGGCTGTTCACCTATAAGCAACTTAAAACGTGGACTGGAAGTTGCATCCTTACTGGCAGTGTTCACTTAGCAAGTCTAGCAGCTGGACTGTTAGCATTTTGCTTCTCATTAGACTGCTTCTCATTAGGCTGCTGACTGACTTTGGCGAACTTACAGGCGCTGTATTTTCCTGCATATAAAATAATACTGTTCTTTCCAAATCTGATTTTATTGTACTAATGAAAAGTGCAACAGAAGAGAAAAAAAGGAGGCTTTATTTAACTAACCTTAGCTTAGGCAAACTACAGAAGAAGCAGCTCATCAAATTCATATCCCTCTTCTGTACATGTCTAGTTCATCTAGTTTAAGTAGATATTCATCATCGCATACTCATCTCGCTGTTGGCACTGCATTTTTAGTCCTACCTGGACACTCATTATGCTCCAGACTGTAAAGGGCACCTACAGGAATTATTTGGATGTACAAATATATAAATGATAAATCCCATCCTTTTTTAATGGATGAAAATTCTACTCTCACTGTGAACTTCAGACATTCTTTAAAAAGCAAGTTGGAAAGAAAAGTCCAGCTCAATTTTTTGAAGTCCAGCTCAATTTTTGTTCTGAAATATGAGGAGAGTTTCCGGAAGTAGAGGGTTTTTTTTATTATTATTTTTTATTTTAAAACATTTAGTGACTATTTTTCAACTGAAACATAGAATCATATAATTTTTTGAGTTGGAAGGGATCCTTAAAGGCCAGATAGTCCTACTGTGCTGCAATGAACACCACCTACAGTGCCACCTACACTTTGATCAGGTTGCTCAGAGCCCTATCCAGCCTGACTTTGAATCCTCCAAGAACGGGGCTTCTGTACCACCTCACTGGGCAGCCTCTTTCAGTGCCCTACCATCCTTAAAAAATTCTTCCTCATATTCAATCTAGAGGTCTGTCCTTGAGTTTGAAACCATTTCCCTTTGTCTTGTCACGGTACTGTCTGCCAGTACTTGAAAGGGACCTACAGGAAAGCTGAGGAGGAACATTTTATAAAGGCAGGTAGTGACTGGAAGAGAGGAAATGGGTTTAAACTGGAATAGGGTAGATTTAGACTAGATATTAGGAAGAAACTCTTCACTGTGAGGGTGGTGAGACACTGGAACAGGTTGCTAGAGTGTCTGTCCCCTACTTACTTGTAGCCCCTCATTAGATACTGATAGGCCATTATTGGGTCTCCCCAGAGCCTTCTGTTCTCCAGGCTGAACAGCCCCAACTCTCAGCCTGTCCTCATAGTGTGGTGTTCCATCATCACAGTGGATGTCTTTGAGGAAGATGATAAAGAGCTTTGGTCCCAGTACTGACTCCTGAGGGATTCCACTTGTAACTGATCTCCATCCAGATGTTGAGCCATTCACCACCCTTCTCTGAGTACAATCTTGCAACCAGTTCCTGGTCCATCAAACAGTCCACCTCCAAATCCATGTCTTTCCAATTTGGGGAGAATGATGTCATGGGGAAACCTTACTGAAGTCCACATAGATGATGTCAGTGGATCTTCCCTTATCCATTGGTGCAGTTACACCATCATAAAAAACATCAAGGTTGGTCAGGTAGGGCCTGCCCTCAGTGAAGCTATATTGGCTGCCCATATCATCACCCTTCTCTTCCATGTGCCTTAGCATATCTTTAGGATCTGTTCCATGGTCTTCCCTGGCACAGAGGTGATCCTGACAGGTAGTAGTTCCCTGTGCCCTCCTTTCTACCTGTCTTAAAAATGGGTGCAACATTGCCATTTCCAGTCACTGCGGTCTTCACCTGATGGCCGTGACTGTTCAAATATCATCAAGAGTGACTAGACTTGTTATTGTGGGTGTAAAAAAAACATTGCAGTTACCAAGTCCTTTTGGTTTTGAAACAAAAGGATCTTTTTGGTTTTGTTGGCTGTCAGCACAGTTTGTGCAATCAGTGTGTTTTTATTTTAAGGACATTTTCTGTGACTTTCCTTTTTTTCCTGATTTTCATGGAGTTGCCTTTTGGAGAGTATCAGTACTAAGGCACATACACCTATTTCTTGTGTGAGGTTTTGTTAAGAAGGTACAAGGGTAAATTGCTTAGCATTTTTTAATTAGCGATTAAACTGTAAAAGAACATCTCCCCCTACTGGAAGACTTAGTCGGCTCTTACAATTGTACATTCTTCATGTAATTAACTTGTACCCTCTTCTTTTACTGGTGGATATCACAAGAAAATGCAGTGGTTAAGACAGGAAAGGACAGCTACGAGAGCCTGATATTAGGAAAATGAATGCTCATATCAAGGCAGTTCACTTATCAGAGTGCCAAGCACTTTCAAGACAGTATAGGAATGTGCTCCAACTTCAAAATACATTCTGTTTGTTTTTAATTCAGCACTGTGTGTATAAAATGTGGCTGATACGTTTTCAAGTTATACTAATGGAATTTAATCTTCAAAAGTAGGTTGGCTACTGCCATCATTAGTAATCAACCATTTCTGCAAGTGGTCAACTACAGTGGGCTTATTTTACTTGCTGTAGTTTTTTTCAAAACCAGTTAGAATCTCACGCAAAGATTTTGAGCAGATACACAACTATTACTTTCAAATTATTTGTTTTATGCAGCATATGGTAATTTTTCATTATTTTACTTTGCATCTTGGAAAAACCTGTGCCAAAGACAAATAACGCACTGTGCCAATTGCAGTTACACACAGACCTCTTTCTGACATATTGAGTTTTTAATATATTTTTAGTGAAGTAACCTCCTGTAGTTGAAATTTGGATAAAAATAGTGAGATTAAATTAGAGTGTTTGATCTATCTCTGCATCAAATAGTAAGAAAAGCAAAGAATTCCATGGTCTGAGATTGAAAGTGCTGCTGCTTGAGGTACCTCATCTTCTTGTGGTGAAACCAGCCTTTCAGATTCTTTCAGTGTGTGAGTTTTGTTTCATGAAGTGCCTGGTCAGGAGCCCAGAAACATTTCGTTATAGTTTTCTAATGAACAGCAAAGTGGTGAATAAACCAAATATTATTAGACTGTGATATAGAAATATGCACTCTAGCTATATTAGAACTATTCAGCAAAAGCCACTGTCATCCATTGTCAGCTAAAATTCATCAGATAGGTAATTTTTGGTTTTGAAAGCTAGTTGAGGATGTGTTCTTCCTATAATGATCTGATTTTCCTGAAAGTGTGAAAGATGGGTTTATATGTGTTATTTTTAAGTATTTCTAAGTGTTTTTAAGTGTGTAAGATGTTGGAGCAGCACTGAGGGCCTTATTTTTGGTTACTGTGACAAGTGTTTCAATCTGATGAGTATTTGTTAGATTCTGTGTAATGTACTCTTGGAAGGAGCAGTTCTTATAGAGCTTATTTTCAGTGAACTGCTAATAGGGAAGAATTTGATCTAACCACCTGCCCTCTACTGATTTGAATTTAGGTCATATCCTGGTCCCACTAAGCTGACACTGGACGTTATTCCATCCAGGCTCTCTGCCTGGGGTCTTGCCCTTTGTCAGGCCTGCCTTTTGACATTCAATGGAATAGACATTTTCCAACCCTTTGGGCAGAAGAAATTTCATCATTTGTTGATGTCATCAGTCCAACGAGATAGAAGACATGGTTAACAGAATTCACTGTAATGTGGCACCCACTCGACATCAGAATATGTCACTGCTAGTTTTCATTGAAATTATTTGATTTTAGAGAGATTTTGGAGAAGGCCTGTATTTGTGATGAGCTTCAGGATACTGTCTTCTTTATTGTGGTCCAGGTGATCTGAAGAGATTCTTCCTGTGACTGGCAGGGATCTCATATAAAATTGAGGGCTATAAACCTTCTGAACCTGTCTGTGTGGAAGGATGTAAGGTCTGTATGTATGTACACCTCTAACCAGAGATAACACATAGAGATAATACTTCTCTCAGTAGATGTCAAGAAAGCGTACTTGCCTTTCATTTACTCTTGAACTTTGTGAAAAGAAAGCAGTTCTGATTCCTGAAGAATTGGTTGGAGTGCTGTTTGGCAGTGAGGTTTGAAGACTTGGTGAACTTTGATATTCCAGTTGTTTCAGGGTTCCCAGTCTGCAAAATGAGTTATGTAGTTTCATGAAACTGGACTAGAGATTTGTTTTCTGTTTAGGGAAATAATCTCGAGATCTGGGAAGCACTTTGACCTGTATTTCAGTATTCTTCAACATGCAATTCTCTTTGAAAAAGTTCATGAGAAATATAAAGGAGAAAATCACTCATTACTGTACTCATTACTATATATAAAGTATATATACTATATACTTTTTTACTCTGGTTTGGGGAACTATGCAAAGCAAATGCCAAAGAAAAAAAATATTTCTTTAATTGTTGACTGCAGAAGAAAAAGTATCCTATGGAAAATTTGGCCCAAGATGTCATTTCTTCATTAACTATGATGATTTTCTCTAATAACTTCACAAAATATTAAATTGCTTGTGATGAAGTTAAAGTGAATAAGCAAATATTCTTTTCTAACTAGACAATCTCAGTGAGGGGATTAAATAATTTGTAGCTCAAAAAGCAAACAAAAAAATCCAAGCTTTTGGTCACTTGTATTTATTTATATTCTGGAACATTTGAGCTACTGTCGTTTATGTTGACCTGGTTCTGTGCTGTTGCTTCATAAAGTTGTAGATTAAAAGAAATGTTTTTGTTAATTTGGAAGCAATTGCAGAACATTGCCAAACTCGAACAGCGTTTCATATTGCAACTAAGGATATGAATCCTCTGTTGCCTTTGAGTGTTAGTCATTTTCGCTATCATCCTGAGGAGTCAGATAATTTGATTTCCTAAGGCTTGTTTTATTTAATTGTGAAGAAAATAAGTTTTCCATCAGCTACTAGGAAGATCCATTAGTTCTTCACTGCTTAACTGTTCCAATT